TTTGCATCTCATTGTACTAACTTAAATTGCATATCACGGCAGACATCTCAAAATACATAGTCTTCTGGGGGCTAAGCATATATTAATACATTTTGGTAGAGAGGAATATAGGCCTACTGTCATATAGGTTATGTTATCGGGCATCCTTCTAATTCTCTTGAACAACCAAGATTGAACTTTTGAACTCTTTATAATTTCTATTATCTAGTCCAGTTAAAGTCCAGGGGAGGAAGCCCCATCATAGTAAAGAGGATACTAATGTGATGTGTGTAGTTCTTCATAGCCTCTTCATTTTGCTCTCAAAGTGCACGGAATTGATGGATTTTTAATAGAATGTAGAAAAAATTTCTCCCGGGGGGGCATGCCCCCGGACCCCCCTAAAGGAGCTGTGTTCCCCTTGGGGCTAAGCCCCCCTTGTTCTTGAAGCCTAGTGACGCCCCTGATGCACAGCATGTTTGCATGTTTGCATGTTTGCACTTAGGATTCAGAGGAAACAAATTTCATCTGTGCTGCATGTTATACATAAAGCATATTTGACAATAAAGATGACATTGACCTTGAAAAAGCCATGTACACTTCACTTTGCATCCATTTACAAAATCATTATAAACCCATTTAGATTCGACTACAATTTGTTTCATGCAGAAAAGTGTCTTACAGCTCCACAGTTGACGTGTGAGGGATGATAAAGTTCACAATCTCTACTTTTTCTTGAGTACTCCTCTGGAAATCGACCTTATTTTGCTGGACATTGGCAAAAAAACTACGATGGTGAAAAAAAGTAGTCACAACAGTTCAAAGTTGGCATTAGATCGAGGTGTTGAGCACAAAATAACACGCAGTTTCTGCCCAAAATAGTTGTTTAATGCATTCTGCCACCTCCCAACATATTTGGATTTGCTGACAACTATTTTTCATCACTTTTCCAAATCTGCCACTTTAGGTGGCACTTGAATGTGTAGCAGGTCCACTTCATTTTACATCGTGGGAATCAACAGGTCAGGTTTTCATTGGTTGTGACGTTCAACTGTGAGTTCAGCCCAACGTCACCCTGTTTTTCCAAATCAACACACTCATTGCTCATTAATATCCGGACAAATATATTTTGGTAAGTACATTGATTCTCCAGTTTACATTGGTGGATTAAGGACTGAATAGAAAATAATTTAGACATGTTGGGCCATATTTTCGTGCCCAGCGCAAATCTAGTATGTACTGTAGTCTAATTGTGCACATGGGTGGAGTTTTCTTTCTTTTGGTGTTTTAGCAGACAGGAACAGCAAGAAAGGGACAGATGCGCCATTGTGGAAATGAACACAGCTGCCTTCTTTCCCAGCCAATGGAAGCAGCTCTCCTCATTCTCTTTAAATAGAGCGCAGGAGAAGCACATGGTCTACATGGTGGCCATCGGCACATGCAATGTTCATTTAAAAGGAACTGCAAGAAGATCTCCACTTACAGATGATATCACTTTGGCTGCTGTGACGTGGGCACTTGGAGACCGCCCAATGGGGATGGTTTGAAAAATATGTTGAAGATGACAATTCTAAGAATGAATTCAATGAATTGATTTCTGCAATGATTCCCAAGTGACTGATACATGCTGTTGTCTATATTCATGAATGAAATACCAATGGCATCCACCACACACCTTTGCGTTACACCACAACTTAGACCTGCTTTTTTTCTGATGTCCTCAACTAAACCTGGTCTGGTCTACTCTCTATCTCCAAATTGTCAGGTGCGCCAGGGGAGTGTAAGAGAAAATGCAGTCGGTCTGCCTTAATCCCCAGAAAGGCGCACCATGGTCTGCCAAATTTCCAGACATGGTAAACTAGACTTGCTCTGGCACAGCAATGAAGTTGTGCCAATTTTTATGCCGAGCGCACATGCGAATGTCTTCCAAAATGGAGCCCATCATACTTTCCCAGATGTGAAGGTAGGGAGGGTAACGGAAAGATTTTACAATTACAAAGCCTAAAAAGTGACTTACTGAGCAACATTTCTAACCAACAGAAGTGAGTTAAAAGTTTAAATCAGATGTGCTCAAACTCTTTCTTAAACCAATCCATCAACCATGTTTTTATTGTTCATATGCTATTGTTAAAAAGAGCAGTCTGTATTAAGCTGAAAATTTTTAAAGCAGTTACTTGAGCACCATAATTTGATATGTTCTCAAATTGAACCTTGACACATTGCAGAGCGTGGAGCAAAGCATTTTTACTTCTTTATTCACCATTGTAAAGAGAAATGTTGTTAGTACCCCAGTTTGGACAGCCTTGGTGTAAAACTTTGCTCAAGCTGCAATGATGAACAGAAGACAAAAATGTATTTGGCACAACATCTTCAGCCATCGTGCATCTTTTGCTCGCATGCAGCATCTTCTGCTACTTGGTGGTTACACTGAGAAGAGATGAGGTGGAATTGAACGACGGTTCCTCCAGCAAATGTGCAAAAGTCTCATTGTTTGAAAGTGTGGCACTTCAAAATCAGCTTTCGTAAGATGCTACAATAACAGTCATTCAAGTAGCAAGTTCAAAGGCATTCGGGCCTGCTTCCATTCACTCCTTTTGGGGATTCCACATGAGTGATTGTTTTGTTTAAAGGCTTCATGACCTTGACATCATCTTGTCTTCCTGGACTCCAGGTGCGGGGATGGTCTCTTCTGACATGCACGATGGATGACAAGGTGGTGATGTCACCACGGGGACAGAAACTTGTAGTCATCATTCATCTTGTAGATTTCAGGTGGCTATGATTGGCTATGATTGCCCGTGCGTATGTATGTCATTTCAATGGGAGATTGTGAAATGGGTTCCCTGCAAACAAAACATTTTTCAATTGATTTGCACTGCTGAAAATTTTTGAAAGACCACCACCTGATGTAATGTTAACATCCACATTTGCTTTAAATGTAATAATGCTACAAATATTTGTTGTAAATAATCATGGACTTAATTCCCTCTATTTTCTCTCATATTCAGTTTGTATATGCGGCTAAAGAAAAGAAAAAAAATCACATCCAGCTTTATTGCTCAAAAATTTCATTGTGTCTAACAGCTTCTTATGTACCGGTAGTGTGTGTGTGTGTGTGTGTGTGTGTATATATATATATATATATATATATATATATATATATATATATATATATATATATATATATATTCTTATTTTTAATGAACATTTTAACCAGTCTGCAGAATATCATTCACTAAAGTTATATTTAGTTCTGAAAGTGTAGTCTGGTGCAGTCTAGGTTGCCTCAACTTGGATAAGCTTTCCCTTCTCGCAATACTGAACACTCAAAAGCGAACTCAATAAATTTATAAATGGCTAATTTTTATGCAGACATATAACTATTATTGTTAGGAAGGAATTTTCCCCAATAAATCCTTCAAATTTACATTATATTAAACAACAAGAAATAAACGAGTGAATCACAACACCTCTTGTCTGTGCCTATGGCGGAAGATGCTGAATGATATGTGTTTGAATGCTATGCTTAATTGAGTTCTGACACAGAGAAGCCCATGAGCCACCCCAAAATTTGGGTATGAAATGTAACATCAGTTTGAAATTCCTCTCTTCTTTTGTAAATGTTAAGAAGTCACTGACACTGAAAGAGTCAGCATTAAAGCACTATGGAGGGTCTAATGCTGATGTCATGGTGTCATGGCAGGGGGTTTACCAAGTATGCACAGAATATCCCCTTGAAAGACTGATTTGCATTTAGCTGATTTTCGCAAGACTAAATATCGAAAATGTGCCACGTGCTTAAATGCAAAAATATGCTTTTCACGAATGGTTTGTTTTGTTGGGCAGAAAACAGATACGTGGTAAATGGGATTATTATTTTTAAGATGTTCAAATGATGGGGAAAATGTTTTTGTAGTTTATGCTCATGACTTCTTTGAAAAGCCTAGTGAGCCACCTCAAATTTGGGCGTGAAAGACAAATTCAGAAATGGACACTTCTCGTTTTAATGACAAGTGTTCAGCACTGAACATCCCCGCTCTGAATGATCACGTGCATTTACCCGAAATGGTCTCGAATGTATATTCTAAACGATCACATACAGAGACTCGCAACGTGTCCCATGCTGTCATGTAAGATGAAAATTATCGCTTCCGCTTCCCTCATTGCCTCTTCTTCTTCTGCTTGAGTGATTTCCTCCTCTTGACGATCATTTCGTGCAACTTGTCCATGCCCTCGTGCAGCCCCTCGCCGATGATGGCGCAGGCGGGCTGAACGTGGTACGGCGTGGACGGGCTCAGGTCGGACAGGGCCAGCTGCCGCTCGATGTCCGCCACGTCCAGGGCTCGCGGCAGGTCCTGCTTGTTGGCGATGACCAACAGCGGAGTCCCGTGGTTCTCGGAGAAGCGGGTGATCTTGTGCAGCTCGGCCCGGGCCTCCTCCAGCCTCTCGGCGTCCACAGAATCCACCACGTACACGATGCCGTCCGTGCAGCGGCTGTAGGGCTTCCACAGGGGCCGCAGCTTCTCTTGGCCACCGACGTCCCAGAAGTGGCAGCTGATGCCCCTGGAGGTGCCCGCACCGCCCAGCCGGATCCTCTCTGTGTTGAAGCCGATGGTGGGCACCGTGTTGACGAACTCGTTGAACCGGAGCCGGTAGAGCACGGTGGTTTTACCCGCAGAGTCCAAGCCTAGCATAACAATGTGCAGGGACTGGAAGGCTGCCAGGTTGGAGAAACTAGTCCCCATCGTGCAAGACCAGTGCCGGCATGCGCGGCATCAAGTCGGGGATGGAAGGATGCTTCAAAAAGGGCAGCGGCTCGGGAGGGTGGCGCAGAGGCACTCCGGATGCCTAAATCGACATTTCATCTTCTCAACCTCCTTAACCTCCGCATCCCTGCATATTCGCGGGGTGGTGCCACGAGCACTCGTGACAAACCGTGGAAATGTCACATTACGTCCCCTCGTGCATCTGCAATGTCGCGGTGCTGAGTTTGCTCACCCACACGAGTGCGTTCCGCGTGTATGAAAAACAAGCCATGTAGCGACTAGAATGTTTGCAGCAGAATGGATGAGAACTGATATCCGGTTTTGGGAGGGAAAAAAAAACAAAAGAAAAAAAAACAGTGGGCGGTTTCGCATGCTATTTGAAAATATAAAGTCAATTGCTTTTATTCTGAAACCTCGCGTGAACTATTTCCTCTGCGCACAAACCCTTCACCAGACTTACATTAAGCATCCTTGCAAAGCTGTAAAGTTTTTTTTTAATCAGATAATTATACCAAACCTTTTCCTTGTCTGTTGCGCGTCATTTTTTATTTATTAATTCTGTTCATTTTTTAAATCATAACGTTTGCGGTTTGTTTTTATCCATGCGGTCTTGTGCCATTCTTCGCCACTAGATGACAGCAAAGTTTCGTCACATGAGAACGTGGCACTCGTATCGGAATGTTTTCTGAATTGAATTTCAGGGAATAGAATTCACATCCAACAACCGACTGATGCCATCAAAAAGACAGATAAACAAAGCCAGTGGCACGTAGATATGCTTATGCAATGAAAACTGAAGTTGAGAGTCAACACAATCGGGGTGAAACTGGTGGGAGTTGTAAATAAAAAACAATGTCAATAATTTCAAACCCCTCATACATCAACGTATAGCCGCGCATAATCGGAAGGGAGGGGGACTCAATGAAGAGAGGCAAGTTTTCTCTCAAAGGTGCATTTATTTCAAAAGAACAAAAAGGTAAACAACGTACTCATATTCTGAAAAATACAAAATCAACAGAAACCCACAAAATGAAAGGGAAAAAAAACCGAAGTCGAGACCGTTTTGATACGTTTCCACGTAGTCATTTCCTAAATTTAAAAGGAATCACATTTTCATCCCTCCCTGACTCGATGGCTTGTACCACAAAAGTTAAAGAAAGGTGTTAAAAATGTGAACAGCCTCTTAGGAGATAACATTTTTGTTCCGATGAACTTGTGTCACCGTGCTAGAAACGAAGATGCTGATTGGACACAGAGGTGGCCTCTGTTCTGCAATCGATTGCTCATCCACACGTACGCGGATGTTGATCACACGAACTGAGTTTGCTCATTGAAAATTCAAATTTTTATTTTTACTTGTTATACTGGATGTGAAAAGACAGTGACCCGAATCTGTGTGGGAAATATTTGAATTCATATTCGTAAAACTGATTATGAAAAAATATACAGAATTGAATTTTCATTGAGATTTAAAAATCTGTACAATTCAAATAAAACAATACAAATTCAATGTATGTATTTCAAATTCAGATTTTCAATGTATTTTTTCAAGTTTCGTGATTAAAAATTCAAGTATAAATCATTCTGATTCAGTTTCTGGGTGCACAGTTGGACGCCACAAGGCGGTCACAAAGTCGCCATTTTATTTTTATTGAACTTGGAAATATCTCATTGAGATTATAAAAAAAAAAAAAATCAAAAAAGTCCTGGAGAAGAGGCAGCAATAAACACAAACTACAGTTATATATTCAGCACAGAATTTTACAAAAACATTCTGAAAAACACAAGCATATTGTTGAATTTGTCTCAAAAACTCAGTTTAGATTTAAAAGCAATAACAGTTTGGTGACATACAAACACCAATGATATTCATGCCATGCAGTACACAAGAGGAAACTATTTTACGTAGCTTCTTATTCCTTTGGGGCTTGGAATAGAGATGTGATTTGGTTTCTGCTGAATGCTTGGCCTGAGCTACTCTAGTGGGATACAGGACCAGAGGCTACCCTAAAAGCCTAAACTATTTATCACCTTTAACACAAAGTTGTGATGTAGCAGTGTCCCAAAAGTCACTTTACGCTTCCCTTTTTCCTATTTCTTATCAGGTATTTTTGGGGGGGCAGATATGAGGCCATCAATGAGTCAAGCAATTTTTTTTGCCATACCAACACACATTTGCACATGACATGGCACAAAATACGATACCTGAGGCCCAAGTTAGACCAAGACTTGTGGAAAAAAAAGAAAAATTGAAGAACAAAGTATATTAAAATAAATATTATGTTTGACATTTGGGGACAGAAAAATATCTTGCATCAATTTTACAACACGACTCCAATGTGAACTGTCGAGCCCTGGGCAAGGGAACAACGTGCTTACTAAAAAGATGTCAAATGCTGCTGGCCTCACATGTGTCAGAACGATACCTGAAACCAAATTGGAAAAAAAGGATGTGTGTCGTGACTTTTGGGACACTTTGTTTATTGCTTGATGGGTTGGTTTGAGCGTGTTTGACAACTTTTAGCTGAAGAATTTCAAAATGGTCCTTGCATTTTAGCATTTTTCTGTTTGTGTCAGTAGTAATCACGGTAAATCAGACAGCAAAGTCGCCATAGCCGGTGGGACAGAAGGCTGCACTTTGGAGGATGTCGAGGCAGTTGACCAGGATGAGCGTGCCAGTCAGGTGCTTCCATCTCTTGGTGATGGGGTTCCTCATCTTGTCCAGACCCACGTGGAGCTCCTGGATGACATCGCGATAGCTGTCCCCGACGTGTGCTGCCCACGTCAACAGGAAGTCATAGGCTGGTTTCCACATGGACTGATGGGATGCAGGGCAAGGTTTAGTGGCAATATAAATTTTGGGGGGAATAACTTATATGTGAAACAGAGGAAACTTTGCTCAATCTTCAAAAACAGATTGCGACCATTCTTGTGTGAACTATGAAAGTCAAGAGAGATTAATGCCATTGTAAGATAAACTTTTCACCATGATGTCGCACTGACCTCTGGGTAGCAAAAGATGGAGCTCAAACACAACACTCTTTTTTCATGGTGAGATTAGCCATAGTCAATGTCTTTCCTTCAACCCAGAAGTACTAATCTGGCGCCTATTGTTTACAAATATTATGAAATTGGCCATAGTATTTTTGATCAGCAGCAACGACTTTGAGAGGCCAAACGTGTTTGTATTTTTTTCCCCCAGATTACCCACAATCCCTGGCACTACCCTTCCATGTAAAACTAACCATGCAGCAGACAAGCTCTGTCATGGAGCACCTCTCTGTCCACCTTTCACAACACTTCTTTGAATATACTACAGTGATGTACTCTTGATGTAGAATAAGACTAAACTGGACCAATTCTCGCCTTGGTCACACATTGTGATGTGTAATGATGTGATGTGTGTTTGCAGAGGAAAGCGCAGAGCATTAATCACACTTTTACCCAATTGTTTTCCAGTGAATTGCCCTTACTTCCCATAAACGTCAATTCATTCGCACAATTCCCCAAGAAAGTTTCAAATTTGGAATATTTCCCAAAATATCAAAGTTAACTCCTCAATAAGTTTTCCAGAAATATTACACGCCTTTGTGACCATACTTACCACTGCATCTTTTGAAGGCCTTTCTTGCCATCAGTGTAAATTTCCACTGCATTGTGTTCTAAATTGGCCAAAATGCAGCTTTCAATGTCCGACCTAAATGACAATCACCAGTAGGGTGTTCTCACCTCACTGTCCAGCACGCCGCTTTTATCACGATGCGGTGCCTCGTAATCCTCCATCTGCTGTCTGGACACTCGGGCCAGTTTTTCTGCAAGTTCCCTCCAACGGGATGCCACCTCTACTGCCGTGGTCAGCAGGACAAAGTCCAGTACCAATCTGGCGACAAGACCCTGGCAGTCCATCTTGAGCAAAGCCTGATGGGGTAGCAGGTAGGGTTCAGGAAACGAAAACTCAAGACTCCTAACTTGGGTTGCAAGATAGTGGAAATACAGTAGTCGTTTAACATACAGAATGGGACTTTGCTAATATTTTTGGATGGAGCGGATGACTAATACTTAACTCAACATTCCTGCTTTTGCTCTTCAATGAAGCAATTTATTGTTCCATAAGATATTAAAAACTTGATGAAGTTGTACTTTACAAATACATCTGAATGTCATGCATTTTGCATGCATGTGTACTTATAACCAACCAAAATGTTTATATGTATGCTGATAGCTTTCCATAAAGTTTCCCTCAATATCTCCTACAATTCCCAATTTAGCATCCCATGAAAATTTACAGGAAACTTACCAGAAACGTTCCACCAATTTGCAACGCTAATCCTGACACCCACAAGGTCTGTTTTCACTAGACTGAAAAACATTCGGAGATCCCTTTCATTTACCTCAGCTAAAGATAACAGCCCTGCCCGGCCGGCACACTCTCCTCTCCGTCTGCCACCTGGCAGAGCAGAGCGGCAGCCTTCTAACGTGCGGCCCTTCATCTACTGATTTAAGCTGCACAAAGGCTTGATTCTAAACATAGCTTGACAAACACACACACACGCATACACAGTAGGCTTCAGCCTGTGGCACGAGCACAATGGCCTTGCATGCAATGAAGCAACTTTGCTTTGGACAGTCAAGTCATTTAAGCCAGGACAAGATGGCCACGTGAAACTGAAGCGATTTCAAAACAAAGTTCAGGAGGTCCGAAGAGGCAGAACCTGAATCCGATATGGACAACCGAATTGGTCGAGGTTTCCACCCATCATTCTCCACTGACATATAAAGACTAGTTACTAAATGATGGCGGTCAGAAGTGGTCATGCTAAACAAAGAAACTTTCCAGCTGTCTGTGGAGGTGTTGACGCATCATCTTAAGTCACACTGAGGACAATTCTGGATGGTCCAGCCCATTTATTGTCGAGCTTCTGATGCTGATGTCCATCCGATATTTTAATTAAAATGTTTTTTCGTGCATGATTCTGCTTATAAACTCTTGTCTGTTGTAACCCAGTCCGGTGCTTGAAGAGATCTGCCGAGTAAGTGTCGGATGCCCCTCCAGGCCGCCTGCTCACATTTCACATGGGAGCAGTTGTTCCGAGGAAGGAAAACAGATCATGTTTTCTATGATTTTGAAGTCATGAGTGTGGTGAGTGGATGAAGAAATAGGCTTTCCTTGTGTTCAAAATGATGAGGGTAGAGTGGACAGAATTAGTGTGTTGCTAAATGATGAAACCGATCACAACCTGATATGATGGGGGTGCGTCCGCACTCTTTGTTTTCTTTCAGTATCAGTTATCGCCTCCCACAGCTTCTCATGGCAGCATCCCCCATTTGGCAACCGGATTCCAGCCCAAAGCTGCCAACGCATTTTAATCCGGCTTCATGTGAGCACCAAAAAAGAATGAGAGGCTTATTTATTAGTCAAGCATTTCTTTTCAGGGTCTGAGAATTTTTGATTTAGCAATAACTATGTAAGACTGGTGATGGTTCCTGGCTTTGAGTGTCACCGCACGCCAAATTTACTGGGAAACACACATCCCAGACCAAGAGTCCTTTGCAGCCGCTGTGAGAACAGGAGCATTTCAGTTGCAGTCTAAAGCGGAGTAATTTCGAAATGTTCAACATTGTCTGTTAATTTTAATTTTAACCTAGATATTCAATTAATTCTTTTGAAAACCCAACAAACAACAAATTTCCAAGGACTATGTCCATCAAAATCAAAAGAAGGCTGGACACTATACCTTCTCTGCCACAGACTTTCTAAGCTGACATTTCCACTGCTTTTTATGGAAGGTACGGATGCAGGATAGGGGGGGGATCAAGTGCAACCGGCTTCTGACATAGTATCAGAAAGGTATTAGAGGCAGAAGGCCGAGAGCCGTGACTAGAGTGAAGTTAACACTCACTCGCCAGGCCCTATTTGTGTTGAAAGCAATTACGGCTCTTGCGCTGAACTCGCCACACAACTCACTCTCTCTCTCTCTCTCTCTCTCTCTCTCTCTCTCTCTCTCTCTCTCTCTCTCTCTCTCTCTCTTTATACACACACACACACACACACACACACACACACACACATATATATATATATATA